AAAAAAAGAAATCATAAACCTATTTCTTAAAAATAAACCACAAATTTATTTCTCCTCTTTTGAAATAAATAGTAATGAAAAAAAATAATAATAATAAACAAATTTGAAAGATGTTTTGGGTGGAAAGTATTTGTTTTTTTTACGTTGATCATCGATCTCTTTTGTTTGGAATTTTGGGAGTGGAACGTAAAATATTTCATTTGCAATACCTTTTTAGACTATACACTATTTATTTGATTTATGTCGAGATAGCATAACATTTTTACGGAAGTTCAACAATATTAAATGATGCTCGAAAAAGTAGTAGCGGGGGAGATTATGTTACCGATGATAGACTAAATGAAAACTAAAGACCAATGAACTTTTTAGTGCGTAGCAGAACAAAGATTTATAGTTTTTGCATATCAAATTACACATTTAAAACATAAAAGGGGTTTAAATCAAAAACAAAAAAATGAAAGATGTCTAGACCTTGATCTTGAAGAAAATTAGAAATTTGCATAATTTTAATATAAATTGTTGCTTTTAAGCTGCATTAGTTTCTTAAGCTAAATTTATAACAAAATACCTTTCTTCAACTAGTCTAGTTTTTCGAAATAATCGGCTTAACTTGACAAATTCTTAAATATTATTTAAGTGATTTCATTCATTCAGCAGCAGCATCATCTCGATAATGTTCCACTCTATTAGCATCATAAAAAATTATAGTATGTGTGAATATTTCATTTTTTTTTAGATGACAAAGTGTCATAAAAATGTTGATTGTTTTTGGGAATTTCCGATGCAATTCGACTACGACAATTCATGCTGTTTATAAGTTTGCTGTACCTGCCGATCGTTTTAATATAATATTTATATATGTATGATTGTTTATATCGTTTAAACCTGTCCGTGTTTGTAAAGATGTTAACCAAAATTGCTTATTTATTACCGTTGTTTTTGAATGTTTTTCTCCAAAGATGCGAAATTTATTGTAGCAACTAATTAGTCATAAATTGTCAAAAGAATTTCGTGTACGTGGGAAGTTTTAACATCCTTCTCAATTTTAATTCAAATATGTATGTTCGTTGAAATATTTGATGCCAAATTTCAATTGTATTAATTTACATGATTTTTCTCGTTACAGTTATTTAAAAAATAAAAAAAAGACAGTTTCATTTCAAAAATGTTTCATTTTATTACAATTTAACCAAAGAGAGTCAATCTATATCAAATTCGTTAGTAGGGGGTACGGTTATATTGGGCCTACCTTTGAAACTTAAGGCAAAATAGGGAAGATCTTCACCGATTGTCTTTATCCTAGTTCATACGATAGCTATGTTGTTCCAGAATAACGTCTTGAAATTTGGAACGGATTGGATTATTAGTTTCTGAGTCACCCACTAAACTTGCCCCGATTGTCGGGCACCCTCCTTTACACCATTCACAATTTCTTCGACCAATTCATCGTCCAATTGAACACAGACAGCAATCGTCAGCAGACTTCTCACGAATTTCTGATTCAGTACCTTCTTTTCCGAATGGAACTTCATTTCTTGATAATTATATTATAAGCACAAAATTGATAGATCCAGTAGTACCAAACGTTCAAATTAACACTTTACCAACATTTTCAGATTATTTCCCCGTTCAACTGCATTTAAAATTATTGTCATTATCTATTTTCTTAAACTCTCCGAGATGCTACACTTCTTATAAAAATACAAATTGGGATAATTTTGGAAATGATATTAAACAAGATTTGCTCATTAATTTCCCAGATTCAAAAAATAATCTGTACAATTTTGGGACAGATTATTATATAGACAAACTTTCCAATGTAATAAATAAAGCCAACACCACGTATTCGGAAAATGTACGTTTAGGAAGGAAAATTATTGTTTCAGATGAAATTAAAAATCTTTATTAATAAAAATACATATGGCAACGGGATTTGAAAAGAATTTTTAACCGAACTCGAGACAGGTCTGATCCATGTTCTAGTATGTTATCAAAACAAGTGCAGCTGTTAGGTATCATGATTAAATGTCAAGTTGAAATTGGGCAAGCTAGGTTTTTTTCCGAAAGAGTTAGACTAATAAAACTTGGTTCAATGGCTCATAAGCAAGTTTATAATATTGTTGCTTACAAGCGTAAGTCATATATTAATAGCTTATCTGAAAATGGAGTTGTATGGGGCGCTGATCAGATTGCATGCGATATACATGAAATGGAAAGCGTCATGGAAAGAGCCACTGCACTGATTCTAATATGTTTATTTTTAGTGACTTTCATGAAAATTCTAGATTAACGACTATTGAAAAATTGTTAGCCTACGTAAAACTTTGTAGCGAATTATGCGCATAACAACATCGGAACATCGTATATCCCAGAACTTCAATTTGAATTTAAAACAAATCATTTGACGACCGATGTGCTTCTTAAATTTCATAATGATGTTGTTAATAATTAACGAGAACGAACACGTACGGTAGCGATCTCACTTGATGTTGAAAAAGTTTTTGATCATGCATCAGACTTAGGTATCCTCCACATAATAGCTCAACATTGATCTGTTTGTTATTAAATTCTTCCAATGTTTCTTATCAAATTAATTGGGGTATTTCTATTAATCCTTCCAAACCCAAGGCCATTTGTGTACGGAATGCGTCCGGGAAATGTAGAAAATTTGTAGTTCCGGAAAGTAAAAACCTAAAACTGATTTTTAATGGGGTTGAAATTCCAATAGGAACTAGTATGAAGTACTTAGGAATTATTTTTAATAATCTACTAAAATTTTAAAAAACAACCGAGGCAAGTTTTGGTGAGAGCATATAAAGCACTAGGATCGTTTTCTGAAATTTTAGTAAATAAAGATCTTTTTACAAAAACTAAGCTACTTTTATGCAAAATCGGTATCCGGCCGGTATTACTCTACGCTTTTCCAATATGGTTTAGCAAATCTCCTGTAGTGATCAGTAAAATGGAAATTTTAGAACGGAATGTTTTAGGACACCCATAATCAGAATGGGATCCTTGAATGTTTTGGGCACCCCCGTTAAACGTCTACCATTCTGGGCCACAAATGATTCCTTTCGCTTTTCAGCATTCACAATCAACAGGGTTTGCAGCAGAGTTTCTTCCGATAGCTTTAGACGGACTGCCAACCACGCATATACTTTGCGTAAAACTCGTGCCATATTTGGAACTAATCCGTATGTAATGTGGGTCACGGCTTCTACAGTATCGCTGCCCAATAATTGTAAGACTTCTTGAACATATAGGCGAGAGTGTTCAGCGAAATTTTCACCTTAAAAAAAACAATAAACTGGGATTAAGCCTGACTATTTTGCAAAAACAAAATACAAATGGTATCCCAAATAACCCGCCAAACACTACTGAAGTTGTAGACGAGGCACGGTCATACTGTTTGGTTTATTGCTATAACTAGCAATACCAACAACAACGTTATGTGCATTCGTCACAAAGTGACGACACATAGCAGTGGGAAATGTATTGTAGTTGTCTGTAAATGCCTTGTTGACCACGAAGTCAGGCGCCAACGAAACGAACTTCTCATTGGGGTCGTATCGCTGGTAACGTAAGAACTTCGAATTGTCACAAGAGACATTTGGGTTTGAAAGGTTTTTTGTAAAGAAGCTATTAATAGCTTCTGGGGAGAATATCCCAACAAAAAACTAAGGGAACTGATGAGGATCAGTGGCGAGATCCGAAACTATAGTCTTCCCTGCCTTACCCCTCGGCGGACAATGCCATACATTCCCCACTAATAAATAGTTGTTTTTTATAAAAACAATAAACTGGGATTAAGCCTGACTATTTTGCAAAAACAAAATACAAATGGTATCCCAAATAACCCGCCAAACACTACTAAAAAATAATTGTTTTAAATGTAGGCTTCGGGGGGACGAGTGTTAAACATAACCCAATGTTTTGTCTGTATCACCAAAATTCGGATCTTTCCATAAGATAAATACCCTGATTTTGTAGACATGTTAGCACCGTATTATAATCGCCACAGTGTAGACCCGATGATGGCCATGAAATCAATAAATAACCCTCTTCGTAATTTTCATATTTGGGTAATTTCTTACCCATTTCCACAATAGCCAATAATATCATATTTACCGACTTTATACACCGAAGGCATTTTGGCAGTTTCATCACATTTTTCAAAATAAAATGTAAATAGAAAAATTAATTTATTTTTTTAAATCCTTTTTTGGACATTTAAACACACACTACAAAGCACATTTGCTAGCAGGACAACCCTCTGATAAACCCTTAACAATTTGCGCATGTTATTCAAAAATGCCACTGGTTCTGCACACGAATCCAAAATATTATTGGAACACATAACAAATAGATCATAACCCAAATTCTCATAGGTACCCAAAGAAGGACAACTGGATTTTTTAACCTACGCCTATGGTGGCCTCACATATTATATGGCTTTTGTAGTCCAACTAAAAAAGTTAACAAAAAAATTAGAAATAAAAAACTGAGAAAATTGTCTGCTCCCATTCCTTTAAACTGAACAAACCACCCAAGCCCCCAATAACACTTGGCCTATGTGTACCACGCGTACGGAATTGAGCTCCAGCTCCCTATAATTTCATAATCTGGCATATTTTAGTTGAATCCTGTGTAGTTTCTTTTAAATCCTTGCGCAGAGTGACAGCAATCACGACACGACCGCCATTGTTGATTAAAAATTTCCATCGGCGTTTACACATACGAAGAAAAAAATTTTAGATAACCAATCGCTTAAAAGTGAAGATATGTATAAAATAGTGCATCCCCCAGATCAAATCCCTCAGGTACAAAACTTATTCGCCAGAAAAAGTTAACATATTCCACATATAAAGGTCCCGGTCATTTTCGGTATGTTCAAGGTACACATTTTTAACGCATAGTTGACTTAGTAAGATATTACTTTATTTGAATTTAATATTTATTATTGATATTGTTTTAGCTAACAGCGTTCACACCTACGACAAATGACACATTATTGTCGCCAGAAAAAGTTAACATATTCCACATATAAAGGTCCCGGTCATTTTCGGTATGTTCAAGGTACACATTTTTAACGACATAGCCCCGTAGAAATATCATCAAAAACTTAAGTTATGTTGAATTTTTTATAAATTTGAGCCATTTTTGTAGGCAGCGCCATAATGAGCATACTTTTGGGCGCAAAGAAAAAAATGTAAAATACCGGGCTATCACTTACCAATTTCATCTTTTATTCATTATAATTATGTTGTCCTTATAACCAGGTTCCTTTATCAATGATTGACATTCTCTTCCTTTTCTCCAGTTCCTATGTTAATAATTTATTCTCTATTATCTTCATTTCAGGCAATTGCAAAATGGTGCAAGGAAAATAAAATCGATATGGTTGTTGTGGGTCCCGAGGATCCCTTGGCCAATGGTTTGGGTGATGTTTTGCAAAATGCTGGTATCCCCTGCTTCGGACCGGGTAAAAAGGGTGCCCAGATTGAAGCTGACAAAAAATGGGCTAAAGATTTTATGATACGCAACAATATACCAACTGCACGTTATGAATCGTTTACCGATTGTGCCAAGGCCAAGGAATTTATTAAGAAGTAAGTTCGAAATCTTAAACATTCGAAATCACATTTTAATTTGTGTTCTCATTTTCAGTGCTCCCTACAAAGCTTTGGTTGTGAAGGCAGCCGGTTTGGCAGCTGGCAAAGGTGTTGTGGTTGCCGCCAATGCCGAAGAAGCCTGTCAAGCTGTTGATGAAATTTTAGGTAGCAAAAAATACGGCTCAGCTGGTGAAACCTTGGTTATTGAGGAGCTATTGAGCGGTGAGGAGGTATCCGTTTTGGCATTTGTTGACAATCATGGTGTTCAGGCCATGTTACCGGCCCAAGATCACAAACGTTTAAAGGAGAAAGATGAAGGACCCAATACCGGTGGTATGGGTGCTTATTGCCCATGTCCTTTGATAACCGCCGATGCTTTGGAAATGGTTAAGAAGCAGGTGCTGCAACAAGCGGTCGATGGCCTTCGATCGGAGGGTATTGATTATAAAGGTGTCCTATATGCTGGCATGATGTTGACACCCGATGGTCCTAAAGTTTTGGAATTTAATTGCCGTTTTGGTGATCCGGAGACACAGGTTATTCTACCCCTGTTGGATTGTGATTTGTTTGAGGTTATGGTTGCCTGCTGCCACAATAAATTGAAGGAGGTCAATTTGAAGTGGAGAACTGGGTTGAGTGCTGTCGGTGTGGTTATGGCCAGTGCTGGTTATCCCGAGACATCGACTAAAGGATGTGTTATTGAAGGTAAGTGAATACCGGTTTTAAAATGTGATTTGATATTTTATTAATGGACCTAATCGGCCATTATCTCACATATAACGAACCTAACCTATCTTTATCTCCGAGACAATGGTCCTAAGCAGCCATTATATCAGAGACAAAAGACCTAACCGACCATCTTAAGAGAATGTATCTAACCGCAAATTTTCTCAGAGATAATGGATAACCGAACATTGTCTCAGAGATAATGCATTTAGTCGGTTATTATCTCAGAGATAATGCACCTAGTCGGTAATTACCTCCACCTAGCGGTCATTATCTCAGAGATAATGCACCTAGCCGCCCATTATCTCAGATATAATGCAACTAGCCGACCATTATCTCAGAGATAATGAACATATCCAGACATTATCTCAAAGATAAAGCACCTAGTTGGTCATAATATCAGAGATAATGTTCCTAGCCGGCCATTATCTCAAAGATAAAGCAGTTTACTGGTCATTATCTCATAGATAATACAACTAACCAGGATTATCTCAATGATAATGCAACTAACCGGTCATTATCTTAAAGATAATTCAACTAATCGGCCATTCAGAGATAATGCAACTAACCTGCCATTATCTCAGATATAATGCACCTAAGCTGCCATCATCTCAGATACAACGGACTTACACGGCCTAGCTGACCATTATCTCAAATTTGACGCACCTTGCCTGCCATTATCTCAAAGATAATGCCCCTAACCTGCTATTTTCTCAGAGATAATTGACTTAGCCGCCCATTATCTCAGATATAATGCATCTTTATATCAGATATATTGGACTTAAACAGTCTTTACCTTAGAGACAATGTATACGATATCGGAGGTAATGAACCCAATAGGTCATTATATCAGAGATAATAGAACATACCGGTCATTATCTCAGAGACAACGGACCGTTTCCTTTTAAGCTAATGGACATCCAAAAACTTTTTTTCATTTCAGGTATCCCAGCCAATACTTCCGATCAGATAATATTCCACAGCGGTGTGGGTGTTAATGCCGATGGAAAATTTGTCACCAATGGCGGTCGTGTCTTGATTGCTGTCACTCTGCGCAAGGATTTAAAACAAGCTGCCCAAGATTCAACCAAAATATGCCAGAACATCAAATTTTCGGGAGCTGGAGCTCAATTCCGTACTGATATTGCTGAAAAGGCCTTTAAATTGTAATTATCTCATGAAATTTCCAAAAACAAAAAATCGAATAAAAATTTTGTACTAATATTTTTTTAAAAATTCCCAACCTACTTTTATTTTATTTAGCCAAAAACCCACACAACCTTCATTGTCCTATAAGGATAGCGGTGTGGATATAGATGCGGGTGATGATTTGGTGCAACGTATCAAACCATTGTCGCGTGGTACTCATAGGCCAGGTGTTATTGGGGGCTTGGGTGGTTTTGGTGGTCTGTTCCGTTTAAAGGAGGTAAGGGGGTGTATGGAAAAATTTCTTAGTTTTTTTTTAAATTTCTGAATTTCCGAATTTTTTAGTTGGACTACAAAAATCCGGTGATATGTGAGGCCACCAATGGTGTAGGTTCAAAAATCCAGTTGTCCTTGTCTTTGGGTACCTATGAGAATCTCGGTTATGATCTATTTGCCATGTGTGCCAATGATATTTTGGAATCGGGTGCTGAGCCAGTGGCATTTTTAGATTATATTGCCTGTGGAAAATTGCAAGTCCCAGTGGCTGCCCAAATTGTTAAGGGTATTTCAGAGGGTTGCCGGGCTGCCAAGTGTGCTTTACTGGGTGAGTGTTAATGCTCGAAAAGAGGTTCTTTAAAAATTAAATTAATTTTTCTATTTCAATTTCGCTTGAAATACAGGTGGTGAAACTGCTGAAATGCCTTCGGTTTACGAAGTCGGTAAATATGACATTGCTGGCTATTGTGTGGGCATTGTCGAAAAGGGCAGGGAATTACCCAAATATGAACATTACGAAGAGGGTGATTTGTTGATTTCATTGCCTTCGTCGGGTCTACACTGTGGTGGCTATAATGCGGTGCTAACATGTCTACAAAATCAGGGTATTGATCTTACGGAAAGATCGGAATTTGGTGATACTGACAAAACTTTGGGTAAGCCATGAGGATTCGCCACTAATGACTACATTTAAACATATGTGTATTTCTGTGATCAATTTAAAGGTGAAAACTTGGCTGAACCCTCTCGCCTATATGTCCAAGAAGTCTTACAATTATTAGCCAGCGATACCGTAAAAGCCGTTGCTCACATTACCTCTGGATTAGTTCCAAATGTGGCAAGAATTTTGCCTTCCAAATATGAAATTGCTTTGGATTTCGGCGATCTCAATGTACCCGAAGTATATGCTTGGTTGGCAGTCCGTCTGAAGCTGTCCGAAGAAACTCTACTGCAAACCCTAAATTGTGGTATTGGTTTAGTGATGATCGTGCACAAAGCATCGACCGCATGGAAATCTGTTAAGGGTGCCAAAGTATTGGGTGTGGTAAAGCGTAGACTGAACACCTGCCCTAAAACTTCGCAAATCGAGGTTAAGAATTTTGTTGAAGCTTTGGAGAAACATAAAAAGAAATTCATCACGATGGGTGATAGTGAATTATCCGAACCCAATTATCATGAGTTGCAAGGTCTGTTGATAGTGAATGCTGAAAAGCGAAAGGAATCTTTTGTGGCCCAGAATGGTAGACGATTGACAGAGGTGCCCAAAACATTTAAGGATCCGATTTTGATTATGGGCACCGATGGTGTGGGTACCAAAATTAAAATTGCCCAACAGACCGGACGTAATGGTACCGTGGGCATTGATTTGGTGGCCATGTGTGTCAATGATATTCTATGCAATGGTGCAGAGCCGTTTACATTTGCCAGCTATTATGCCTGTGGTCAATTGGATGAAGAGTTGGCTGAAGAAATTGTGGATGGTGTAATGGAGGGTGCCCGACAATCGGGGGCAAGTTTAGTGGGTACGTTTAAAAATTCTCATATTAATACCCCTAATATACTAATTTGTTGGTATTCTAGAATCCCACATATCCGAAGTCCCTCTCCTGTATAAACCCAAAGTTTATGATTTGGCCGGTTTTTCTTTGGGCATTGCCGAACATGATCGCATTTTACCCTTAACCGATAAAATACAACCTGGTGATGTTCTTATTGGTCTGCCATCTTCGGGGGTACACAGCAATGGTTTTAGTTTGGTCCATGCCGTGATGAAATTGGCTGGAGTCACTTTCAACGACAAGGCTCCATTTAGCAATCTAACATTTGGCGAAGAATTCCTGCGACCCACAAAAATCTATGTCAATGCCTTGAAACCGTTGATACAAAAAGGCCTGGTAAAGGCAATGGCCCACATTACAGGTGGTGGTCTTACAGAAAATATTCCACGTGTCTTGCGTAAAGATTTGGCAGTCCAATTAAATGCTCAAAACTTTACCATACCACCCGTTTTCGCGTGGTTGGCACAGGAGGGCAATGTCAAACCTGAAGAAATGCAAAGAACCTATAATTGTGGTTTAGGTATGGTCTTGGTAGTGGATCCAAAACATGAGCGACAAGTAATGGAACTGATACAATTTTCGGAACGGGCCAGCATTGTGGGGGTGGTGAAGCAACGAGAAACTCCCACCGCACCACAAGTTGTTGTTGAGAACTTTGAAAAATGTTTGGAACACACAAAGCGTGTTATAGCTGCACCACGTAAACGTGTGGCAGTTTTAATATCCGGTTCGGGAACAAATCTACAAGCCCTCATTGATGCAACCAGAGATACATCACAGGGTTTAAATTCCGACATTGTTTTGGTCATATCGAATAAGCCAGGTGTCAAGGGTATTGAAAGGGCGCAAAAGGCCGGTATACCAAGCATTATTATTAGCCATCGCGATTTCAAGACACGCGAAGCTTTCGATGAGGAAATGTCGAAACATTTGTTGCAAATGAAAATTGACATTGTTTGTTTGGCTGGTTTTATGCGGGTCTTGAGTGAACCATTTGTTAAATTGTGGAGAGGAAAATTATTGAATATCCACCCATCGCTGCTACCCAAACATCCTGGTCTACATGTGCAAAAGAAGGCATTGGATGCTGGTGATAAAGAATCTGGTTGTACAGTACATTTTGTTGATGAAGTGAGTTTCAATTCGGTTTTTTTATTTTTATTTCATTTTACTAAGGAGAGTATTGTTGTCATTCTTTTTACAGGGTGTTGATACAGGTGCCATTGTGGTACAATCCTCTGTACCCATTTTGCCGGGAGATACCGAAGAAACCCTGACTGAACGTATACATTATGCCGAATATTATGCTTTCCCCAAGGCCTTGCGTTTGGTGGCCAACGGCTTGGCCCGTTTAAACAAAGAAGGCAAAGTGGTATTTGCCTAAACAAAGACAATAATCAAATCTGTTAATAATAGAGATTAAGGATCAGACGTTAATATTTTACAATAATAATAATTAAAAGTAAAAATAAAAACAATAATAACAATTGCCTATATATTTTCGAATTAAGGTAAGAAGAAAAATATCACAAAACTACATTATAATGTAGGTACAAATATCACATTCATTATTACACCAATAGATCAGAATTCAAAACCACGAACCAATAAATGAGAAAAAATCTGATTTGCCATGACTTTCGCTGCTGCTTGCCGAGTCGCCACGAGATTGTGGTCTCTTTTGATTGCATGGCACCGATGGATCCTTTAGAATAGTTTCGCCAATTTTCACTAAATTTACACGAAAGAATTGATGATCAAATATCGGCACAATTAAATTATATTTATCAATGTTCTTATTGATTTGCTTCACATCATAGTCAAAGTTCTGTAAAAACTCTTGCCATTGTTGATCTTCCATTTCGTTTAATGGATATTCGCCATAATAAATTCGTTCTTTTTTAATTTTATTTTTCATATCATCCAAGGCTTCGCGTATATCACGTTGCAACATTATCCATTCGGGTGTAAAGCCGTTATCGATAAGTATTTTATTCAGCTTATGGGTGGTAAAATCTAAATATGGGTTTTGAGTTTGAGCTTGGGTCAATGGTTTTCCGGCACAGCTTAAATTATTAAAATCACCACGTGACATAGCCTCTTGTATATAATCTTCGACCAGGCGATCGAACCCGTATTTTGTTTTAATGGCATGTTTTTTAAAGAAGGTTCCCTTTTTCATTAGGGTCTTTTCATCGGCCTGTGATTTATCTATACGATGTTTGAGTACACGTTCTTGGGCCTTCATTGCCTTAATTTGTTGATATTGTTTTTGGCGTTGAAATGGATTACCCACACCCAATCCATCAAAACTTAAATATTGACGATGTTGGGGAGCTGTGTGACGTATATCTGGCACCTCTTCCTCCTCATCTTCATATATGCCACGGCGATTTTTGGCAAATTTTTCCTGCAGCACCTTAAAGGCTTCATCGACTTCTCGAAAACGTTCTGCAGAGGCTTCTGGCAGACCGGAATCTGGATGGACCTTTTTTACCAATTCAATGTAGGCTCGACGTACTGTGTTCTGATCTGCTGTCTCTTCCACACCCAAGATAAAGCAACATTTCTAAAATAGGGAATAAAATAAATATATAATGTGAATGTAAATAAAATAGCCGGGAATCCACTAACCCTATAGAGCTCCGCTCTCTTGATATGCATTCGCCGTAGTTGTTGTTGCAATTGTGGTCCCAACCTGGGGAATATTGAAAGGTTTGCAAACATTTGTAAAGTTTGCATTATCGTAGTTAAATCGAGTAGTTTGAATATTTTATATTTTTTTAATGAATTATGTTATTAAAAAAATATTTCGAAATTGAAGTTGTTTTAATTTCCAATTATTTTTGAAAAATTAAATAACATTTCAACATTACATAGTTATTTCGCACAAACCAACGCCGGAAAAACAAAGCATGCTTCTTCTTATACGGTTTTTTTTTAATAATTGGTAGCCCAAAACAATTCCAAATAAAATTGTGTTCGAGAATGTGCAAATTACGAATCTCTAGGACAGACAACAAAGGAGAATTGCGACCAAATATATTGTGAGGCGTATCAGGAGGACAATTCTACATTACGGATAGATGTTTTGAATAGTGAAATCGATTAGCATTCAATACGAATTGGGACGGCTGCCTTTCCTAATTTCAATTGTGCCAGAATCACCATATGACGGGTGATCTCCCACGATTGTGAGCCCCGAATTTTTTCCGCAATCTTAGAACAAATTTCTGTTCACAGATTTAATGCGACTATCCTGAATAACAAAATTTGGCATCGCTACATCCTTGCATTCGAGAGAGTCTACAAATCTCATAATTACACTTATAATAAACAATAACGCGAAAATCCTCGACTATAAAATAAAACAAGAAAATCTTAACAATCACGATAACAATTGCGGTGGCAAAGAATTTGAATACATGTACATTTCACTAACTTGACAAGCAATACTAGTAAAAGTATATATATTATTCACAGAAACCCAAACAAAAATTTTGACTGCAACTAAGATTGATTTCTCAAGATCAAAAAGCGGAAATAGCTTAATATATAAAAAATAATAAAAAAGTTACTCTATAATGTTATCGTGGTTATTAAAACAGTATTAAATTAAAAAAAATACAAAAATTGAGGCACTTATCATTACAATAAAATTAATTAACAATAATTAATACAATTGTTATTTTCAAAATATACCTTTAGTGACCACGCATTAAATATAAGCTCTGAAACATGTTGTTGCCTGTGGGCAACATTGGGCCACAAAGGATTAATATGCAGTTTGGATTTCATATGTCAAGACCTGATTATGGACGACACACATGAAAAGAAAAATCTAAAAAATTAAATTTTTGGTAAAGTTATGCACTTTTCAATATAATTAAACAGGCATTTGGTCTCTCTGATTTGTGTATACAGTCCAAATCAAGGTATATTTAATAAGGTGTAAGTGACAATCATATTGTTTCAAACTTTTTTTCTTTATTGCTTGTAAAACAAATTGCCACATTTTCAATATTAAACGGCATATACATTAGAACTTTTCACCGGATTAACCTATTTTATGAGGATTTATTTGACATATATGCAAAGGAAATGACAATTGAAACCCACTGGGTTAACGAAATCCGGTTAAATGTAAACGTACTATACATTTCGATTTCAAAATGGTCTTTTAGTTGAGCCTTTTTTAATTATAAAAGTTCAAGAACACTACATTCATAGAGGCAGAATCAGTTATAACAATTACACAATCCCAGCTACATAAAAAGAGATTATGTTAGCCTATATTGGAAAAGATTTTATCCATGATTTAGTCTTTGGCCGGGGATTTATGTCATTCAATATTCTTTATAATTTGAAGCCACTCCATAGAAAAAATAGATTGTATTCCACAACATAAACAACATCACAAGGAGCCCCGGACTACATTGGGAAACTTGAAATTAAGGTGAGAGATGTAAAGAAGCTCGCTCTTAATCGTTGTTCGCACTTAATTATTAAAATTACTTAGTTTCCCATACAAAATTATCTGAGCGAACACCGACTTTTGTACGTTGTTCAATTCGAATCACTCTCTGAATCACAAAAAATGTTGTCCCATCTCTAACAATTGAGAGAATTTATCGAAAATAAATTAATTTTGACAGCATGAAAATTTTTTTAAAATTTTCAAACTTTTTCAGTAAAATTGAAAATGATGAATGAAAAAATAACCAAAATTCTAGTTTTTATATATGCAGAAGGATGTAAACTTTGTTGTCTACATAATGCAATACGCATTTCTTTCCCCTAGGTTCTAATTAGCGTACAAACCGAGAAACAAAAGTGGGGAAACCCAAACAAAAACTCTCCAATTTGTTAAATGTGACATTTGAGCTGAGAAAATATAAAAATGTATTGAAAACAACAATTTTTTCAGAAAAAATGGAAAACATGAATTAAAAGTAAAGAGATAGGGGTTGATATTATAGTCAGGAGAAAGAGAATTATTTTTTCTATTTAGATCCATATGTGATTCACGCAAATATGTTACAATTTTGGAGTAAAACAAGAAACAAAATATTTGAAATAAAAAAAAACTCTGATGACATGAATTAGTCTGCTTTTCCACAGACAAATTTTTATTTGGCAAATACTTAGTTTGTAGGCGAGAGGGGTGCGAGGAAGAAAAACAAAAATTTGCCTGTTCAGAATTTGCCGTACACGCAAATTCTGCTTTGCTCTGTTCGTTGAAAACAATTATGTTGACATTTCCTTTTGAACCTATTCGCTTTACTGACACACAGCCGGCTTTTGTTTACAAACCTGTTGCTTTAATTTGTGCAAGTGAAATTTAATTTTTGCAGTTTATATAATAAAATATATAAAAAAATAAATAAAATATTAAAAAAATCTTTAAAATGCAAACACTTTAACTTTTATTTTCTTTCTTTTGTATTTTGATTTGGCAAAGAAAAATTTGCTAATGGAAAAGCAAGCGAAAATTTCAAAAGAGAAAACAAAAAATTTGCCAAAGAAAAATCTGCCTGTGGAAAAGCAGACTTAAGAATAGTGTTGTATGAACGGGTTAATTCATGTACGTAACTCTGAGAGCGAACTACGTTGTTCGAATGACCGTCAGAACATGGTATTAAACATTATTCTTCACTGACCTAAAACCGCCAATAACCCAAGAATACACAAATTCATTAATTATTCCTCAAAGAATAGTTCTTGACAAAAATAAATTAATAATTGTTTTTGTTTATTTCTTTTTCAAAAAACTTATTGTCAGCTGACAATTTAATTTCTATAACAACAATGTTGTTTTTGTAAAATATTTGTTGTTGTATCTGATGCATACACCTTGATTCGTATTCGTATTTTGCATTGAACCCAAGGTGTATTTAATAAGGTGTAAGTGACAATCATATGGTTTTAAACTTTTTTCTTTATTGTTTGTAAAGTAAATTGTCAAAAACATTTTCAATGTTACATTTCGATTTCAAAAATGGTCTTTATAATGTAGTATTTTTTAATAACAAAAAAAAAAAAAAAAAGTGTACATGTCGTTTTAAATTTAGGTTTTTTAATAACAAAAATTCAAGAAAACTACATTCACGAGGCGGACGGAAAGGAAACCTAGGCTTAAAGCATGTGTGGAAATCTGTCCATAAATTTATGATACTTAAATTCTGATACTCGAGGAGATTATGTTAGCCTATATTGGAATCGGCCCCTTGGTGCTTGTCACAATTCTCGGCGAAGTCTTTGGCCGGGGATTTATGTCTTTCAATTTTCTTTAAGAAGGCAAGAAAATTGACTCGATAGAAAAATAGATTGTAATTCACAATATAAACATCACAAGGAGCCATGGGCTGCATGTGGAAACTTAAAATTAATCGCGACCTGGTCTTAAACTTTATTTTTTACTGACCTAAAACCACCAATAACCCAAGAGTACACAAATTCATTAATTATTCCTCAAAGAATAGTTCTTGACAAAAATAAATTAATAATTGTTTTTGTTTATTTTTTTTCAAAAAAACTTATTGTCAGCATGACAATTTAATTTCTATAACAACAATGTTTTTTTTGTAAAATATTTGTTATTTGGTATAGAATGTTGATGCATACACCTTGATTGATCTTCTAAGAAGAGGAGAAGTTTGACTTTCTAAGCCTTGTGTATCATGAACTCTTCTACTGTGAAGGGCACAAAGGAAAAGCATCTTCTTTTGTTATTAAACACAGAAAATTAAAAAATGCTTCTTGAAAGTAAAAGGTATTTAAAAACACACAGGTCAAATTTTGAAAATTTAAAATGGGAATAGTCATGCGTGATATCTCTTATTTATGTAAATATCATTTAAAGTTCAAAAATTTCATACAATGCGCAGAGCTTCACCATTATTAACAATGATGGCTAAGTCATGTACATTTGCCCGAAAGTGCCCATATGTATCCTCACAGACGTCGCCTTTTCGAAGGAACATTGACATGAAATTGAACAAACATAAATATGTATGTTCTGAAACAATAACCCAACAATCAACCACGCCACTTTTCCAGATCCTGTAAGAATTTACATATTTACAACGATAAGAATTTTTCCTTTATGGCATCGAATAAAAAACAATGAACTCTCGATAATTAAATACTTTAATGTGAGTGTTCACATTATCGAGAGTTCACTGTAGTAAAAATTTTTAGATTATTGTAATATGGGAACATACCGAAGGTAGCTAAATTGTTAAAACAACAAGAACTGAGTTCTTCAAATTCATTATTCTTCTGACTTTTATTATAAAACGATTGACACTGATCATTGTAGGGTTAATAAAACTCACAACCTGTTAAACTAACTCATACGTTACGTTACCTACTAATCACATACAAATAACGATAATATCCAATAAGAAGGTCAAAAGTCGACCTACATCTACCTAGTTGTCAAGTTAAATTCAGCCGAATTGCACCAAAAAAACACGAAAAAGGAACACGCAGTGAAAAACTCTTCAAAAAAATAATTGCCAAATAAAATAACATTTAAATTTTACTAATAATAATATTGAATTAAAATAATGTCGGAGAAGAAACGTTCCCGTAAACGCAAGGTAAACTACGGAGTGTGAAAAAATTCGAACATCAAAATGATGACAGCAAAAATATGTTACAGAATTTCCACGAACCTACGAAATTGAAATCTGGTTCGGTGATGTGGGGGAAATGTTTTTGTATTTTTTTCTTGTTTTATCATGGAATTGATGACGGTGCCAAAATAACAAAAAAGGCCAAATTGTTTTTGTTTGTGTATTTTTGTGAGTGCGTTATTGTTTTTAATTGAAATTGCGGCTGTCCAGGGTTTTGTTGTTAATTATTGCAAAAGATAAGAAGGCGATATGGATTTTATCCATTTTTCATTTGGAGAAATCGGAAAACAGTAAAAATCATTTGTGGGGGAAATTGGTGTTATAGTTTTTCCATGTAATAATTAAAAATTTTTGTCTCCATTAACATTTTGAAAAAGAAAAATGTGTACTCTACATATAAAATAATTATCTTTTTTTAATTGTTGTTATGGTTGAATGCCGCTTAATGTTTTCAATGTTGTGGGTTTCATTAACAGAGCTGGAACAACAACAATAACAAAACCCCCCAACAGTTAATGCATGTGGCCTGTTCTTGATGTGTACGTATGCCGTCAATCCATGTGTTTGTGTGTGTAACAAAGTTGCTGTTTTTTATTTTGGTTTCATTTTGCTTTGTTTGTATCCTGCTGCCTGCCTACCAGCCTACCAAGTGTCTGTTTTCTGTTAAAGTATTGGATCCCCACATGGAAAACTAATTAAGGTTTCTTTGTCTGAGGTGACACTCAATTTTTTTGGGTCATCATGTTTAAATTTAGAAATCATTACCTACCCAACGAACAAATCAGCTCTTTGTCTGATTTAATTATTATTTTTGGTGAAGTCTGTGATTCGCAGGAGGAGGCAAGAATTACAAACACAACTTATGACGTTGAACATATTTTTTCGATTGGAGGATTTGTGTATTGTTTGTGAAACAATTGGAGATTTTTTGCTTAAGTCTATCACATGGTCCGATCCGGCCAAAGCCTTTCAGTCTTCAAAGCAATTATAGGTATTTAAAAATAAGATTTTCTGGCGTATCCGATTTTGACATCTGCCATTTTATATATCCTCCACGGTTTGCAACGCATCGAAATACTCACTGGAGACCCGATAAAATGTTTATATTTATGATCAGAATAAATTTCTATGCCCATCTGCCTGTTGAAATCACGATCGAGATCGCAGTATTTGAGATAGAGCTTTGCAAATTTTCACTGGCATTGATATTTTTCATAGGATGATTGGTATTACAAAAGGGGTATATATGTCCACGTTTTGGTATAGCCCCCATAATGGTACCCTAATTATTCGGTATTTTTGAGTAGTTTTTCAACTTAATTGTTGGGTCTATTTTTAGGGTATCCCCCCATTATTCGGCATGAGGGATTTAACACGTTTTTCAACAGAATTTTGGTTTGTAATTTGGTGTTTTGGATTCACTTTAACTGTCAGATCGGCCTACGAAAAAAAAAATCAATATTGACTTATGTTTCGGGGTAGCCCATATAACGGTATCACACAATAATCGATAATTTGATGGTCTTGGTCACATGTTTCTATCTAATTGGTTGTAATTTATTTTGGGTTGTGTTATGGTATAAAATCTTCCCACTCAAATTCTCACTATTGGTCGACCTTTTAGGGAAGCCCCTATATAAAGTTACATCCCATTTGGAAAAATGTCCCTACTAAAATTATCAAATTTTGGGTGTTTTGAGCACATTCATATTCGAATTAGCAAATTTTCCTACTAAAAATAAACAATATTTGTTTTATTTTTTAGGGAACGCTACATCCCAAACTTCGGTGGTATTTTGGGGATCTTGAACACGTGCTTCAACCAAATTCCTGTATTTTTATATTTTTGATTCTCATTGATTAGAAAATCTCTTTACCAAAAATGATCAATATTGGCCTATGTTATCGGCTATATGTGCCCTATATAGGGGTACACCCTTCATTCGATATTTTAGGGTGTTTGGGCATGTTTTTCAACGAAACTCACTCTAATTTGATTTTACCTCTCTTAGAACGTTACCATTCCATTTTCGACATTTTTGAAGACTTTAGGCGTATTTTACAACCAATGAGGCTTATATACAAATTTGTGTGGTGAATACATAGGCAAAACATTTGGATATAAACATACCCTAAAAGTTCCGCTTTTTTCGGTCTTTGTGACCTTTTTCTACCTCACCATTTTAAGGTGAAAATGGCCCATGCTATTGTAATGCCGAACATCCTCTACTATTTTGAGGTATACTCTGGTGCTAACATGCATAATATGGAGCGAGTTCAAAAGGCTTTTAATAGCGTCGTCAAATATGTTTATTGTATTAACCGTTACTATCACATTTCTTCGTTCGTTCACCGTTTTATAGGATTTTCATTTAATAATTTTGTTAATATCCGATGTCTTTCCTTATTCTATAAAATATGCAAATCTCAATGTCCCTCTTTTTTGGCGAGTTCCTTTATTTTTTCAAGATTCACTAGAAACACCAATGTAACAATTCCAAGATTGGACGTTCACATGGACAGATCATTTCTTGCTCATTTCAATTTAAAAAGGTTTAATGTAACCATTTCATCATACCGAAATAAGCTTCTTGTCTTATTTCAATGAGCAGCAGAATAATATTCTATGCTATCTTTATCTACCTAAAAAAATACTTATATTTAGGGGTAGTAATTGCCGCTGATATTATAGTTGGGACAGTTTTTAGTTTCAAATTTTTTTCTATGACCTCGCAAGCGAGGTATTAATAGGAGTAGTTCTTCCCTTGTGAAGTGTCATAAGTGTATTTTTTCCTAATTAGATATTATTTACTTTTAAGTTCTAATAATTTAAATGTTAATTTACAAATTACTATTCGAAGCATATTGTAATAATTTATTGGCCCCTTAGGCTTTTCATCACAAAATAAAGATTTAATAATAATAAAACATTTTTAAACGAATTTCCTCATGAGAGTGGCTATAATTTGACATATCGGATTCCTGGTGAATAATAAATAAATAAAAAATTCCATCTAAGTTTTCCAACTAGAGTGTCTGTAATTGAAACACCTTTTTTCGGATCACGTACAAACTACTATCATATAATACCATAACATAGTCTCATATAAATGTGCCGATCGACTTAAGGAATTTTGAACGCTGCCCACGTGTTGGAGAGTATAAAAAATTCGGCCCGGTGGAAGCTGCTCTGGTCTACCCACGTTTACCCTCCAACGTAATTGCGGAGTGTATATTAAAAATGATACTGATAAATCTTGGTAGCCTAGCTGCATTTTCGAACCAAAAAGGCTTCAATTTGTCATTTCTGGTTCTGACTGCAATTTGGCATTTCAGGTTCGTTAAAAACCTTATAAAGATAAAATAGATTTGAAATTTTATATTTACACGAAACCATGCATGTTCGCATACCCTCATCAATTGGAACCTAAAAATCGTGTATTCGTATTTCAATAAAGTGTATAATCATATATTCGGACTTTTCGGATTTTCGAATCTCTGTATATATTTCAAAGGTTTCATAAAGTTTGTGTTTATACGCCTTTCTATCCATCGCTTCTTTTGGCTTGTCATTTCTGGGTGCCGGAGCCTCAGTCGAGGGTTCCAAAGTTGCTTCGAAGCACTAACTTTTAACTTCTGTCCTTTCAGTAGTTGTTTGCCTCAGGAATGATGGTCTGTCGACTGAAACCGACGTATCTGATGCGGGTTCCGCTTCGGAAGAGCCCACAGCAGGCACAGCAGGGTAGAGTACTGATGACAGTGAAATAAGCATTATCCTTCTCATCTGACATAAGGGTATCATCCCTTGTCTCAGCTGTTATGCTCTCCTGGCTTAGACGGAAGCTGCCCTATTCCTCAATGAAGCTGAAGACGGATTCACTTTGTGGGCCAACTGTTCATTTATGTCGCAATGTCCGAATCCGAGTTCATATTTCGAGTATTTGCGCCTGTGACATCTGAGACTGAGGATGCCAAATCAACCATACCAACATCAGTCGAAAAATGTGTTGTGATTTTCGGCAGGTTTACAAAGCTTTAGGGCTCTATTGATTTATGGAGGAAATGACGTCAACCATGGCATAACCTCCTTACCATTGCAAGGTAACTAAACCTAATACTCATCGAGACGCCTAGGTATCGATTGGGCTCAGTTCGTCTACATTCGAAACCCTGACTGCAAACCATATACACTGATGGGCACGAATTCGCATAACACTCCAGCGTGGTATCGCAGGTATATGCTTAAGTCCTATAGAGACTCGATATTTAGATAACTCTGTATAATATATTCGAACTTCTTCACAAGATATTCCGAATTCTAGTGAGCTCGAAGTAATCTCGTAATACTGTTTTCGGAACACTATATTGGATGAATTCTTACAGCTTCCCTTTCAGATCCCTTTCAATGTACATTGCATGAGGCTTTTGTATTGGGATTTGTAGGTCCTATATCTTTCAAATATGTGTACCTAAATATTGTTGAATAGAAATTTTCACTTTTCTAACCCTGATATTCATTACGCTCTGTTTGTAATTACGTTAACGACTAAACTAAATCTCTAATATAACAACAAAACAAAAGTAGAGTGATTTCCCCTATTTAACTTTTATAGCACAGTTCTATTCCTCAGACAACCTCACAATTCATTTAGATTTCCCTATTGCCATGTGTTATCAACATTTATTTTCGTACTATTTTTGCTCTCAATCGTCTATGGTAATTTTTTATTCTGAAATACTTTTTCCAAATAAATCTAATTGATAAATTAAACGTCATATTTTTAGCATTGAATTGTTTGCTTTACAGTTCAGCGCTGATAATCGGTCAAGTTGCTGTGGGATGTGTTGGTTTGTTCGTTTCATATCACGTAATATGCATATAGTATAAATGTGTATATGAGTATATGAAGAAATTGATTGATAATTAAGCCATTCAATATCTCAGAATGATTGGTAGTCGTCAG